GGGGGAGCAGACGGGATGGGGAGAGCTGTGTGAGAGGCAGTGTGGACGGAGACCTGGGGGCAGAGGAGAGGAAGCTGATGGGTGTAGATACATCAAAGGCGGAAGGAAAGTGGGTCTGAGAAAAAGAGAAGGGAGAAAGAGAGGCAGGATTCTGCCAGCGAAAACTCCTGCGGCTTTGGTTTTCTTTGTGATGTGAATTCCAGCCGTTGATGGCTGGCTGCCAAAGGAGCTGCACATCTGCCAGCCTGAAACAGACAAAGCAAGCTGCAGTTTGCCACTGGTGTGAAGTCTGGGTAAGAAGGCCCAGCATTGCAAATTGCAGCCTTCTTCGTCTGCACTAACAGTTTGCCCAGGGTGTAGCTTCATCAGTTGCTGGGGAATCAGGACATACTTCTAATAGAGTAAGGCCTTAGAAATTCTAACTGCTGGAGCAATACAAGGACAAATCATTACAATGCATACATGCTTTTAATTTAATAATAAAAATTAACCAGCAAGAAGCTGCCATCTTGATGTATGTAGATCAGGTGTTGTGAATTTAAATTTGGACCCAAATATATTTTTTTCAAAAGAAAGCTTTTATAAAACTGAAAGACCAGTAGACAAGTTTCTCATTTTAAGACTTCAAAGAAAGCATTTTTTAAACTAATAGACATTCCCTGTAGTGTTTGAAAACTAAAATTTTGCACCACCTAATAACCTGAAAGTGAAACTGGTTTAATTGATTATCATTGCCCTCCCTGACAGAAATGCACCAAAGTGCCATGTAGGTTAGGTTTTAAAAATTCTTTCTGAGGATCTAAAGTATTATGAGTAACATCTGTAAAGAAAATGACTTATGATCATGTTGACAAAGAACGCACAATACTTTTGTCTGATTCTTGGGTGCCATATTTCAAGTTTGCACATAATTGCATCATTTCCTACTGCTCTCCACTCCAGTGAGGGATACCTGAAACTTTTGGAGAATTGAGGTTTCACTACACTTTATAAAATACTAGTAAATGTTCTTTAGCATATTTTATGGAAGTAGCGAAAATGAAATTTGAGGGCCTCACTGCAATGCTCTGGTCTTGAATCTTTCCTATGAAGGGGTGGGGAGAAACGGTTGTGATTTAGGCTGTGTCTACACTGCCACTTTCAGTGCTAAAACTTTTGTCGTTCAGGTAAAGCTATCGCCGCTCGTTTGGGGTGGGGTTTTTTTATTGCCGTGAGAGCTCTCCCCTGGCAATAAAGCGTGTCTACACTGCCCACATCACAGTGTGGCCGCGGCTGTGCATGTGGGTAGTGTTGACATACTCTCTGTGGGAAATGGGTGTGCAGATTAGGGAGGTCCTGCTGTATTTAACTATCTCAATGGCTAGTTTAACTACCAGATAAGTATGCAGTGTGGAGGAGTAATAATGAAGGATGTGAAACTTGTTGCTTTACAGAGAATGATAATATATGGAGATATACCTATCTCCTAGAACTGGAAGGGACCTTGAAAGGTCATCAAGTCCAGTCCCCTGCCTTCACTAGCAGGACCAAGTACTGATTTTGCCCCAGATCCCTAAGTGGCCCCCTCAAGGATTGAACTCTCAACCCTGGGTTTAGTAGGCCAATGCTCAAACCACCGAGCTATCCTTCCCTCCAAACAGTGACTCCTTGTAGGGAGCAGGGGTTCATGTAGATGTAGGGGACCATGACTGTCTAGCTTGCGGGAACATGGCACTACCTGCAAAAATGTAAAGACTAAAACTGGCTTGATGCAAGGAATAAAGGACTTGACTAGAAAAGCTGATGGCAGCACAGAATGAGGTCTACCAAACCTCATGACCTGGCTAAGGAAAGGAGTGTCCTCTTCTTTGCCAACCTCTTTGAGCATCAGCCTGTGTCACAGCTGCTATAATCACTAAGGAAAAATGTTTGATCGGCTGAATGGCAGTGTTCACAAAGGTGCTATGCTGCTGCAGGAAATTCAGTAAGAAGCATTCAAAAGTGCCTGTGCTTCACGGGTCTCCCAGTACAACTCCACAAGTAGAATGTTCAGACTTGTTTATTATCTTGCAAAACCTGGTAGGCTTGTTTCAGATCTCCCCAGGGCGGCCAGCTTGCAACAGTGGATGGCTTGGACGCTGGATGAAAGAACTGTTTGGTCCTTATGGGAGCCAAAATTGCTGAGTGGATGGCTCAAATGACGTATGAAAAATGTTGTTATGGTGGAGATCCCCCCCAGCTCACCTGGAACTGGATTGGAACCACTATCAACCTAAAAGTGAAAGGCTCTGTAATTCATTTCCCTCAACCGCCCACAAGCCAGCCAGCCTTCCTAAACTGGGGCCAGATTGGAACTGGTGTTGTAATAACCCTGTAGGTATCCCATTCCATAGAGTCTGTTTTTGGAAGTTTATGACCAACAGCTTGGAGAGTAAATAGTTTGGAGGATCGGGGAGTACAAGTTGCCAAAGAAAACTTGAGTCTGCTTCCATTCCCTTTCACATTGTAGGGTTTTTCAATAGCCCGTCAGTTGCTTCTGTACGTTTTATGAACAGATATTTCCAGTTTCTGACTCTCTGTGTGTCCAGTGCTCTGTGAATAATTAACTTGCTTTTTGCAAGTCATAAAAAATGTGTCCCAGAGATCATCATCCAGTGCTGAAATGCAGCCATCTCTGGGCTGAAGCATGGTAGCTGTTAACAACCACACAGCAAAGCTGCACAAAGATCACTCATCCAGCAAAAGTGCACCTGTCTCTGGGGTGGGGCATGGCATGGTGTGCAACAGTTTAGTGCAAGGAGAAAACCCAATCCAGTTGAAATCTAGGGAGACAGAATGAAGTTAGCTGGTTTGGGCTAGACACGTTGGCAAACTCCATCATCCTAATACTCTGACCTCCAGACTGGAATGTGTCTGGTTCAAAAGATGCCATGGCATTTCCTCCAAGAGTATGAGCATTAAAACCCTAGATCAAGACTTTCAAAATCGACCAATGAGATGCCCAACTTGAGGAACCTTAAAGGGGCCTGGTTTTCAGAAAGTGCTGAGCCACCTGCTTATGATGTGATTCTTTGATCTACACCAGGGGTCGGCACGCGTGCCATAGGTTGCTTACCCCCAATCTACACATTCCAATCTGGGGGCTAGTCTGGATTTATTTCTGGATGTTTTCTGGAAGGCTGGTCTTGCTGTTAAGGCATTGAGTTAGGATTTAGGGACTTGAGCAACCCACTTTCCCACCTCATCATGATCATATGGCAACCCCCATGATGGGATGGTTGAGATAATCAAGAGAACACTCCACGGTGAGTAAAGTGGACATAGTTTCTGCTGTTATTGGCTGAAGGCCTTCAACTGTATTGTGACATGTCTGTTGTGAGGTCATCAAGGTGTATGTAGGGGCTGCAGACTGCATTGATCAAGAGAGGCAGCAGGAGGAACAGCTGCCACTTCCAGCACAGCTGAGTGAGAGGGGACCCAGGGAATGGGGTACCACCAGCCCTGTTGAGAACTTGATGCACTGATGACGTTAATCGCCCTGTTGAGGGAAACCTGAATCAAAGAAGGGCTTACCACCAGCTCTGCTGAGGGGAATTTTATGAGAGGTTACCAGCCTATGAAGAGAATCCCTCTTGGGCAGAGTGTAACATCATGGAGAAGAATTCACCCAAGCCTGCACTGAAACACCCAGCAATTGGTATCGACTTGGGCACCACTAAATCCTGCGTGGGCCTCTTCCGAGAGGGCAAGGTGGAAATAATTGGCAACAACCAGGGCATCCGCACCACGCCCAGCTGTGTGGCCTTCACTGAGACGGGGAGGTTGATAGGGGATGAGGCAAAGAACCAGGCAGCCCTCAACTCTCCTAACATCATATTCAGTGCCAAGCGCTTGATTGGCCGAACATCTGAAGACCCTGTTGTGCAGGCAGATGCGGAGTTCTGGCCCTTCCAGATAGTGAAAGCTGAAGGAAAGCCCCAGGTGCAGGTGTCCTACAAGGGAAAGGAGAAGGTTTTCTATCCAGAGGAGATTTCTGCCATGGTGCTGGGCAACTTGAAGGAGATGGCTGAGGACTACCTGGGCCACCCCATCACCCATGCCATTGTTACTGTGCCAGCCCACTTCAATGACTCCCAGCGCCAGGCCACCAAAGACGCTGGGGAGATCGCCGGCCTCAATGTGCTGAGGATCCTCAGTGAGACTACAGCTGCCGCCCTGGCCTACAGCCTAGACAACCCTAGCAATGGAGAACACAACGTGCTTATCTTTGACCTGGGTGGAGGAACCTTCAATGTCTCTGTCCTCACCACTGATGGGGGCATCCTCGAGGTGAAGGCCACCTCTGGGGACACCCATCTGGGAGGGGATGATTTTGACAACTGCCTGGTGAGCTTCTTCATAGACGAATTCCTAAAGAAACATCAGGAGAACATCAGCAAGGACAGGAGGGCCGTGTGGAGGCTCAGGAGGGCTTGCGAGGCAGCCAAACGCACCCTGTCCTCCAACATCAAAGCCAGTATCGACTTGTACTGCCTGTACAAAGGGATCGATTTCCACGCAGACATCACCCGGGCCCAATTCGAGGAGCTGTGTGCTGACCTCTTCCGAGGGACCCTGAAGCCCGTGGAGAGGGCGCTGCAGGATGCAAATCTGAGCCAGGCCCAGATCCATGATGTTGTCCTGGTGGGCGCCTCCACCCGCATCCCCAAGATCCAGGAACTGCTGCAGGATTTCTTTGGTGGCCGGCAGCTGAACAAAAGCCTCAACCCGGATGAAGCTGTCGCCTATGGGGCAGCTGTTCAAGCCGCCATCCTGATCGGAGAGAGGTCAGAGGTCACGAGGGGCCTACTTGCCCTGGATGTGGTGTCCATGTCTCTGGGGATTGAGACGGATGCAGGGAAGATGCACACCCTGATCAGACGCAACACTGCCATCCCCGCGGTGGTAACTCGGACCTTCACCACCTTCAATGACCATCAGCCTGACCTACTCATCCGTGCCTATGAGGGGGAGAGAGCTACCGCCAAGGAGAACCACCTGCTTGGCCGTTTCCTTTTGAAGGGCATTTCCCCTGCCCCCCGTGGCATGGTCTTGGTGGAGGCGACCTTCTATATTAACACAGATGGTATCCTGACTGTGTTTGCCGTGGACAAAGTCGCCGGCAATGCCAACCCCATCGCTGTGGATGCCAACAAGGGGCGACTGAGCAGAGAGGAGATACAGACGTTAGCGGCGGAGGCTGAGAAATACCGAGCTGAGGACAGGGCACAGAAATGGAAATTGGCCACCAAGAACTACCTTCAGTCCTGCGCTTTCAGTGTGAAGCGGACCTCGGAAGATATCCTTAACTACTTCACCTTGCAGGCCAAGAAGAAGGTGATGGAGAAATGTCAGCTGGCCTTCTCCTGGCTGAGTCCAACTGGATGGCTGAAGAGGAGGAGATCAGGCCCTATGAAAATGGTCTCGGGGAACTCCCTCCCAGGACTTAAACGCCTCAGTAACAGCACCACGGGCATCAACAGAACAAAACCAAACAAGTTTGTGGTCACCACTTGCAGCTGGACTTTCCAGTTTACCCAAACTACCACTGTGATCTACCCATAGGAAGTCCTAGCAGGGACCAGGGAAGCTAGGCTTGCTGGTTGCTGTTGATTTACCTGGATTTACCATCTGATATAGCCAATTCATAAATGGTACCCTTCCATGAATAACAGCCATCGGCCTCAATAAATTCTGCTTCTCATACATGTCTGTACAGGTGCATTTACTAATTACTGGGCAAATAGCACGCTCCATGGAGTGTATGCCACAGATGTATTTGGGCTGCGAGGTTTAAAGGAACCTAAGAGAGTTAGGTGCCAAATCCCATTGAACTTCACTAGGAGTTGGGCACTTAATTTCCTTAAACTCCTTTCAAAATACTAGCCTTGGCGGCACAGTCTGTCAGTTGTTTAGGGACTTTTGAACAGGTTTGTGTGTTTAATGTAGAACCTATAGAAAATGTCTCCTTTCCAAAGGATAACCTAGAAATTTCCAAATTTTAGGGAGAGATTCTAGTCTGTTATGCTAGGGTAAATCTGAAGTGACTCCATTGAACCTAGCAGAGTAAGGAGCAGATTCTGATCTCCGTTACACTGGGGTAAATCTGGAGCAACTCCAGTTAAGTCAAAATAGTTAGGTACAGATTTTGATCTGCTACCCAGATGTAAATCTGTATTGACTCCGGAGATGCGTATCTTTTCAGCTATATCCCCTCTTATTTGTCTCCTCTGTAATCTAAACAGCCTATATCTTTTATAAACTGATTGAGTGTCCAGGCCTTCAAAACAATTCCTTAGCTACTTACCTTTGGATCTCTTCTTTATAAATATATCAGAGGGATAAATATCAGGGAGGGAGAGGAATTATTCAAGCTTAGTACCAATGTGGACACAAGAACAAATGGATATAAACTGGACATTAGGAAGTTTAGACTTGAAATTAGACGAAGGTTTCTAACCATCAGAGGAGTGAAGTTCTGGAACAGCCTTCCAAGGGGAGCAGTGCGGGCAAAAGACATATCTGGCTTCAAGACTAAGCTTGATAAGTTTATGGAGGGGATGGGATAGCCTAATTTTGGCAATTAATTGATCTTTGATTATTAGCAGGTAAATATGCCCAATGGCCTGTGATGGGATGTTAGATGGGCTGGGATCTGAGTTACTACAGAGAATTCTTTCCTGGGTGCTGGCTGGTGAGTCTTGCCCACATGCTCAGGGTTTAACTGATCGCCATATTTGGGGTCGGGAAGGAATTTTCCTCCAGGGCAGATTGGCAGAGGCCCTGGAGGTTTTTCGCCTTCCTCTGCAGCGTGGGGCACGGGTCACTTGCTGGAGGATTCTCTGCACCTTGAGGTCTTTAAACCACGATTTGAGGACTTCAGTAACTCAGGCATAGGTTAGGGATTTGTTACAGGAGTGGGTGGGTGAGATTCTGTGGCCTGCGTTGTGCAGGAGGTCAGACTAGATGATCCTAATGGTCCCTTCTGACCTTAAAGTCTATGCGTCTTCAGTTTCTTCTATAATATGCCAAAATTACTAGATCTGGGGAAAATGTGTGCTATGAAAAAGAAAAAAATCCACAAAACTTGTCAACTCACCCGTGTGCTCTGTGTCAAATATAAAACTCATACGTTCAAAGAAGGGTCGAGATTCATGATCCTCTAAAAGCCAAAATTGTTTTTTAGTGACTGCAGTCAAGGGACTAAAAGCCCTGGAAATCTGGGTTCCCAGCATACTTTGCAAATACCGCCTGCACTCTGCATTGATTCCTGCAGAGCCATCATTGGTCTCTGTAGAACATGAATTCAAGCTGGCATCCTGCTGTGAATGAGATGTTCTACAGCAAATGGTAAAATAACGGAAAGCGGTCTAACAGCGAGTGAAACAAGGCAAGGAAATGCTATGCTGCCCTCTGCTGGGCGGATCCGTCTCTCAAGTGGTGAAGGCCTGTTCTTTAAAGGAGGAAGATGGGCTGAGGAATGACCCTGGTGTCATCAGCTCTAAATGACAGCCCTCTACTGCTTGAGCTACATGAAAATTCTTAAAGCTGGTAAAAATAGAAGGTCACATAGGCCTTGTCAGTGCACAAGTTGTACTACACCAATGCAGTTCAAATGATATAATCCCTGCTCACCTCCAGTGTGGATGCAGTTATACCAGCATAAAGGTGTTTTATACTAGTAGAGTTTATTCCTCTTCGGGAAGAGGAATACTTTTCTGGTAGAAATACACTTATGTCTGCTTCTACATTAGAGGTTGTACTGATAGAACGATCAGTTAAAAAACATATCTCTAACTAGGGAAATACAAAAACTGTTTAGACCAGGCCTTAGTATTTCTCTGGGGCCATTTGGTCTGGTGTCCAGGAGGACACAGGACAGGTTATGGACTAACCAGCAGATGAGAGCTAGTTCAGGGTTCTTGATGGAGACAAGAGGCTGGGATACCTCCATCCAGAGATTAACGCCAGAAGAAAGGCAGGTCTTTCTCCATGAAGAAGAGGAAAGGAGTCAGCTGTCACAGTTCCTGAGATAACTGAACCTGTGACTGGAACAGAGCAGATAACTGATTTTTTTTAGTTTGGGGTTTGAACCCAAAAATCCAGGTGGGGAAAAAAAAAGTTTGGTTTGCTTTGAACCTTTTTCATTTAGGGTGTTTTTCACCCTTTTTAAAAATTTCTTTTTTTAAAAAAAATCTGAATTTCAAAACGAAGTGTTGTTTTGAAATTAAAAGTTGCAACATTTAGTTTTAAAATGGCAGAAATAAACCATTTAGATGTTTTCAGCTCTTTTCCGGCCAAAACTATTTGCTGAATTCAACCTGAATTTGTGATGAGTTTCAGTGGCCTAAAAATGTATATTTTGGTGTATTTACTATTCATTGAAAATATAATCTACTTCTGACCCCTTTGTGGCCTCCTTGAGGGCTGTGATGCTGGCAGACCAGGTCATGTCAGAGGGTATTGAGGCCAATTCATATTTGTATTAGTATAGATCAAAGTGATTGTTAAATGGGTAAGTGTATAGGGACTTAAAACTTCATGAAAACGAGTGGAATGTTACTTGCATTGTTTCCACTTATTTGTATCCTGTTGCAATGCAATAACAAACATTTACGATGTGTATACCCCTGTAACTAAATAACCCATCAAATGCAAATGAAGCTTTGTGGAATGCAAATGAAGGAAAGGCTAATTTCAAAGCAAGTGGCCATTCCTCACTCACCTTTATCAAAGGAAAAGCCACATGAGTAGTGTCGCTGTCAGCTTGTTTTCTGTGAGAAAAAGCTTGAAAGATGGATTCTGGGAAAAATCCTTCAGCTCTGGACCGTATGGACTCTTACAGGGAAGCGTACCAGATAAAAGGCGGAGATCCCCTGAGAGAGTCTGGGTACCCTGACCAGACTTTTGGGAAACTGGAAGTTTATTACATCATTGCCATCATTTGGAATTACAAACGGTGATTCACCTGTACATACATTTTACCTGCTTTAACATCTCAATAACGCTCATTTCTTTTTCTTAGCTAATAAATCTTTAGTTAGTTTACTACAGAATTGACTATTAGCGTTGTCTTTGGTGTATGATCTGAGTACAGTACCAGTTGTTCTAGGGTAAGTGACCGGTCTCTTGGGACTCAGAGCAACTTGATGTGGTGTGAATTTTGGTTTAAGTGACCATTATCACTAAGTTTGGTTTGTCTGGGTGACCAGAGAGGCTGGACAATCAAGGGGACAGTCTGTGACTCCATGCTAAGACTGGGATAGTGATCCGGGAGCTCACATTTGTTACTGGTTTGGTGAAATCTGATTATAGAAGACACTGCCAGGTAGGAGTGTCTGCCCCGTTTTTTGACAGTCTGCCCTAAGGTCGGCACTCACAGTTGTGAGCCACTCGAGACAGCGTGACAAGGGTGTCCCATTTAGTCCTCAGGCCTCTAGCCATCACCTTTTTCCAGGTGTGATCCCACAATCCACTCCCTCCAGATGGAGCATGTAGGTTGCGGAAACCTGCAATTCACTGTAATGACCTCAACAGGCCTGACTTTAATTCAGCCCCTGCAGTCCCGTTCTCTCAGGGGCAGTGACAAGGTCAGCCAGGGACCAACCAGCTCTCCTAGAACAAAGTACTGTTGATTCAGAAGCATTTCAGAGAAAGGAGATGATGATTTCAGAGAAAACATACCAGGAAACCAAGCATTTATTTGCAGGTCTAGCTTTCCAGGCAGTGGCACATCTTCCCCATTGGGATTAAAATACTTCAGACCCTTTCTGCAGGGTCTGTCTCTCTTGATCACAGTTTCATGTTGGTCCTTAGCTCAAATCTGAGAGTCCCCCCTCTCTCTGCGTCAGGGTAGTGGTTTTATACCGTTTTCAGTTCTTTGTTTGCAAGGCCGCTTGAGCGAGGTCAAAACAGTCTATGCAACTTCGCGAGGACCAAACTTCTCCAGACTTGTAACTTGCCTTAGGGATTGGCCCTATTCTTCCACGGCCCCCCAGGGAAACCTTGTAACTCCCCCATTGAATCAGGAATCTAATCGCTAGCCAATAAAGATACATGTAACATCAAGTTGATGCAATAGATTTTGATGGTTCCATGTGTTCATAGTATCTGTCACATCAGGCCATGGGTGCGCATGAGCACCACATGTCCTTCCCAGACCAGCTGAATCTGGACCTGGCTGTAGGGTGACCAGATGTCCCAATTTTATAGGGACAGTTCCTATTTTGGGGGCTTTTTCTTATATAGGCACCTGTTACCCCCCACTCCCTGTCCTGATTTTTCACACTTGCCCTCTGGTCATTCTGCCTGGCTGTCTGTCTGGTTTGGGGTTGTCTTGGGATGGTTGTGTGGAGCCCACCACGTGTCTCCATGTCTCCGGCTCTTACAGTCCACAGGTGCAATGAAGCCAGGTGGAAAAGAGCTGGGATCCAGGGTCAGGAGAGAATCATAGATGACCGTGTAGGACTGGAAGGGACATCAATAGGTCATCAAATCCAGTCTCCTGCACTCAAGGAAGCACTATGTAATAACTAGACCATCCCTGACAGGTGTTTGTCTAACCTGTTCTTAAAAACCTCCAATGATGGAGACTCCACAACCCCTCTAGGCAATTTATTCCAGTGCTTAGCCACCCCGAGAGAGCTTACTGCAGCACAGCTCTATGTCCAGTCATCGGATAAAAAGGGGGGTTAGTGGATTAACGATTGTTGTAATAAACCATAAATCCAGTGACTTTGAATCCATGATTTTTAATGGCTAGCAAAGTTATGAATGGGAGCTTCAATTCATAATGTTGTCCTATGACTGTAGAGGTGTTAACTGGCCACTTCACCTTGACTGGTCCCTTGAAATAGGTGTTAGCTACTTCTGCTAAACAATCTGTTCCGCCTTGTATTTAGCTGACACCCTGAGTACCTTTCCCAGAGTTCTGAGTAAGCTGGAAAGCTGGTCTCTCTCACCAATAGCCAGCCAAGTCCAATAAAAGATGTTCCGTCCCTGCCCCCCCACCTTGTCTTTCTTCTCCAGCTCAGCGGTGGACAAAAGGCACCTGTGTCAATAATGTCATCTGATGCCTGTGGAAAAGAAAAGCCATTAGTTAAAGTGACCCTGCAGCCAATGTTCCCTCTAATTTTTCCCATCTATGTGCGGAATGAATGTTATGTGCACCAACATGGAGGTGATGTGTAGTGGGGGTGGGGCCGAGGGGTTTGGGGTGCGGGAGGAGGCTTAGGGCTGGGGCGGAGGGCTGGGATGTGGGGGGGGGTAAGGACTCTGGCTGGGGGTGAGGGGTTTGGGGTGCAGGTGCCCGGGGCTGGAGCGGGGAGAGAGGACCCCCTCCAGCCCTCTCCCCAGCCGCAGGGGCCCCAGGGGAGAGGTGTCTCTCTTCTCTGCGCTGCTGAAGCTCGGCACGCCCCAAGCTCGCCTCTCACCCCACGCCCCTGAGTGCAGTGTGCACGGCTGCGCACCTTGGAGGGAACGTAGCCTGCAGCGATAGCATGATGGGCTGCCTGTGCATCATCATCCCAGCGACTCCATATCACGGGGAGGCGGTTATATAGGGTGACTAGATGTCCCGATTTTATAGGGACAGTCCAGATTTTTGGGTCTTTTTCTTATATAGGATCCTATTACCCCCCACCTCCTGTCCCGATTTTTCACATTTGCTGTCTGGTCACCTTACGCTGTTTACGAGTATCACAATGATTCCCCCCACCCCAAACTGCAGGTTCCCCCAGAAGTTTGTCTGCAGAGACGGTCAAATGCTGCTGCTGTTTGGGAGAAGGGAGGCGCTCAGCTGCCAACACTGGGGCTGGAGGGGCAGCTTTTGCACTCGTTTGTGGAGCCCCCACCCCTACTGTTGTTAGGGTGTCCAGCTCTGGGCGGGAGGACAGGGGGATGGACTGTCATGTGAGCAAATGTACTGATGTGGGAGGGTAAAAGTTTGCAGGATCAGGTGCAAAAGGGGGAAGTGGAAGTAGCCAAATGCTGCCAGGTACAAAGGGAACAAACTGGAAGTAATGGGGGTAGGGAGGAGATGTTCTCTCCCAGTGCTAGTGACTGTGGCTTGTACCATGGGGGGGAAATGTTTGTAAGTAGCCGGGTGCTTTTTAAATGGGTGAGGTCCCTTTAAGCCTAAATTTCAGTCTCCTGGACTCATTTATTTCCTTCTAGCGGAAAGTGAAGAGCCTGTCGACAAGAGAAACGAAACTGGGAGAGATGAAACGAACAGCAGCAGGGGAAGAGCTTGGGTGAAGGGGTGGAGCAAAGGGATGGGGATAAAAAGGGGCAGCTGGCTGGCTTGGGTCCTGTAGCAGCTACATCCTGATCTGCAAGGAGGCTGCTTGTCCTCGGCTCCACTGGGTACAGCCGTGCAAGGTAAAAAGGGGGCGCAAGCTATCTGCTCAGTAACGGGGTAAATGCAAGGTCATTGCATTGAGCTGGAGAGAGAGAGAGAGAGAGAGACTCCGGCTTGAGCAGGGAATTTAGGATTTTAAACTCGTAGGAGTGACGTTTGGGGTGGGGAAGAATTTTCCCCTGGGTCAGGTTGGCAGAGACCCTGGGTTTGTTTGGTTTTTTTCCCCCCTTCCTCTGCAGCATGGGGCATGGGTCACTTGCAGGTTCAAACTTGCATAAATGGTGGATTCTCTGTAACTTGAAGTTTTTAAATCATGATTTGAGCACTTCAATAACCCAGCCAGAGGTTGGGGGATCTGGTCCATTACAGGAGTGGGTGGGTGAGGTTCTGTCACCTGCAACGTGCTGGAGGTCAGACCAGATCAGTGGTTCTCAAATAGGGGTATGGGTGCCCCTGGGGTGCTCGAGGTATTCCAGGGGGCATTCAATCATCTAGATCAATGTTTCTCAACTGGAGGGATGCAGCCCCCAGGGCAGGGGTGGGCAAACTTTTTGTGTCGAGGGCCACATCTGGGTGGGGAAATTGTATGCAGGGCTGGGGCAGGGGGGTGGTGTGCGTGAGGGAGTGTGGGGTGTGGGAGGGGTTGCGGTGTGCAGGAAGGGGCTCAGGGCAAGGGATTGGGGCAGAGGAGGGGTGCGGGGTGTATGAGGGGGCTCAGGGAAGGGGGTTGGGGTGCAGGAGGGATGCAGGGTGCAGCAGGTGGCTCAGGGCAGGGGGTTGGGGTGCAGGGTGTATGGGGGGCTCAGGGAACAGGGTTGGGGTGCAAGAGGGGTACAGACTGCAGGAGGGGGCTCAGGGCAGGGGGTTGGGGTGCAGGAGGGGTGTGAGGTGCAGGCAGGGGGCTTATGGCAGGGAGTTGGGGGAGTGGGGTGCAGGAGGGGTTCAGGCTCTGGCCAACTTACCTCAAGCGGCTCTGGGGTGGCAGCGGCATGCACCGGGGCCAGGGCAGGCTACCTGCATGCCTGTCCTGTCCCCGGCCCCACACTGCTCCAGGAAGCGCTGCAGTCCCTGAGGGGGTGAGGGGGTGAAGAGCTCCATGTGCACTGCCCTTGCTGCGCCTCCAGGTACCTCCCCTGAAGCTCCCATTGGCCGCAGTTCCCCGTTCCCGGCCAATGGGAGCTGCGGGGGGGGGGGGCGGTGCCTGGAGGCAAGGGCAACGCACGGAGCCCTCTGCGCCCCCTCCCGCCTGGGGGCCACTTCTGAGAGCGGCGTGGGGCCCACGGTGCCACGGGGGGCTAGGGTGACCAGACAGCAAGTGTGAAAAATCGGGACAGGGGGTGGGGGGTAATAGGAGCCTATATAAGAAAAAGACCCAAAAATCGGGACTGTCCCTATAAAATTGGGACATCTGGTCACCCTACGGGGGGCAAACCCGTGGGCTGGATCCAAAGTGCTGAGGGGCCGGATCTGGCCCGTGGGCTGTAGTTTGCCCAACCCTGAGCTGGGGGGGTCACGGGACAGGTTTTGGGGAGTTGCAAGTGCAGGGCTGGCATTAGGGGGTGGCAAGCAGGGCAGTTGTCCCGCGTTCCATGCCACAGGGGACCCCATGAAGCTAAGTTACATGCTTCAGCCCCCTGCCTGGGGCTCAGGCTTCCGACAAGGCTCACGCGTGACAAACAGGCTCAAGTATCACCCTGAAATGTACGTACAATATTTCTATCCCAGTCGATTTATTTTATAATTGTATGGTAAAAATGAAAGTCAGCAATGTGTCAGTAACTGTGTGGCTGTGACGCTTCTGTATTTTTATGTCTGATTTTATAAGCAAATAGTTTTTAAGTGGAGGTGAAACTTGGGGTGCACAAGACAAATCCGCCTCCTAAAAGGGGCACAGGAGTCTGGAAAGTTTGAGCCCCACTGGACTAGCTGATCACGATGGTCCCTTCTGACCGTAAAGTCTATGAGACATGAGCCTGGCTCATAATGCCCAGCCCCAAATCCTGGGGAATAGACTGCTTGTTCTCTCACCTCTTCCACGAACACACTGGAAGCTTGAGAACCCTTTGGGGAAGGTTAGCGTTTACCGGTCATCTCCAGCAGAGGGCAGTGGTGCGCGCGCACACCTCCCTCCCGCAATTGACTGGCAGGCAGCGGAATGGTAACAGGGCGGAGGGCTGGTGTCACTTTTGTACCCGCAGGTGCCTAAGAGGAAGAAAACCCCCCTCGGGCGCCATGTGGCGGCAGTCCCAGCTTCTCTTCCTGCTGTGTCTGGTTCTGTCCGGCGGCTCTGCTGACAAGTTTACAGGTCCGTTTAGTTTTGCTTATTTCCATTGCCCCCCAAAATCAAAATCCGCTTGGTGCGGGGGCCGGGTGCTACGTGAAACCATACGTGCCATAGTGAAACCCAGGGCATAAAATGCTGAGCTCTGGGACCTGATCCTGCCAGTGGGTCGCTGCACCCACATGGATCCTCACACTGGATCAGGCCCTGGGTGTGGAACTAGCCCTCGCTTAGATGCACCTCTGGGTGTTCCAGAGAAACCTGGCTTTGATTGGACCAGTGTGGCAAGTACAGAAACATGAGCAGAGATGAGCACACAGATAAGGTTGGGAAGGGGCGGGGGGAGTCGTACAATACCGTGTTATTTGTGGTATTAAAGGCTGTGCTGTGATAAATACGCACAAGAGTTACAGGTTCTGAGCCCAACTTTAACTGTAGCCTTTTCTGGCTGGAAGGCCCGATGGGTCAGCACCCAGATCACTGCTTCACCCAGGAAAACACGGAGACGAGATCCCTGCCTCTTATAGTTTATAATTTAAGGTGCTACCCTCTGCACCCAGAGAAGTCACCGGGGGCTCTGCATGAGTGTTGGTGTTCCCGTGCATGGATCCGACTGCAGGATTGTGGCCTAAACAAGCCTCTCTCCCCCTGCCAGGATCCCTTCTTCTTTTGGATGGGCAAAAATAAGCAAACATTAAAACACACATGCTCCCCCACGTGCCCTCTCTAACCCAGAAGCCCCAGTAACGCTCAAACTGTTTCTCTGTCATTCTCTTTAGATGATGAAGAGGAGGATGGCTGCACATTAATAGATGCTCTCCCGTACGTGGTCGTGGGAGGAGGTGGGTTATTAATGCCCCTCCCCAATGGAGGCCGGGGGTGGGGGGGGCAGAGGAAAAGGTGCATGATCCTGGACCAGTCCCATCCATACAGCCCAGGGTAATAGTAGATGGTTTTGTTGGGGGGGGGTGTGTGTGTGTGTGTGTGTGTGTGTGTGTGTGTGTGTGCGCGCTGAGTTTTAGTTCTCCTCACAGCACAAGGCGGGGATGGGAGGGGAGAGCAGCTGAAGTCTAATGCTGCAGACAGTCCTTAACATGCTATATGACCCCCTGTAAACCAAACAGGGCCTTCCTCCTCTGCGGTGAACGCCTCGCTCGGGCTGGGTGGTTTGGGCTTCGAAAGGGGGCTGAAACAGAAACGCCTCTGATCTAATCTGTCTCTCTCTGCTCCAGCTGCTCTGATGTACGCGGGACCAGCCCTGCTGGCTACATTGGGGTTCCAGGCCACCGGCATAGCAGCCAACTCCGTGGGTTCCTGGCTGATGAGCTGGTCTGCCATAAGTTCAGGAGGCGGCGTGCCTGCAGGGGGAGTCGTGGCCACGCTCCAGAGCCTCGGTAGGTGGGACGTGCCCCGTGCAAGGAACACTTCAAACCCAGCCTGGGCTTTTAAAGAGCTTATTCCCCTTTCGTTTGCCTTTCACTCAGGATTGCTAGGATGGGGGGTGGTTTGGAAGAAGAGCAGGGGGCTGGGAGTCGTGGCACTTGGGGGGGCTTTTAGTGCTAGAGGTCCCAACTGAGACCAAACGCCCCTCTTGATCGGTATGGTGAGAGAACCTCTGCCCCGGGGAGTTACCGTTCTAAATAGCCAGGGCAGAGGGTGGGGGGCAGCAGAGACAGTGGCAGTCACTTGCCCAGGTCCTGTACAGTGGAGCCAGGAACAGAAGCCAGGAGTCACGTCGCCTGCTCGTGAAACAGTTGAGGTCAGATTGGGACCGTGTGACTCTCTCTAATATAGCGACAGAGTCCAGGCTGGCTTCTCGCCTGGACAGTGCGGGTGTTGGATCTGTTCCCTGTCCACCGCCGGATTGACTGGGGTCTGCGCTGGCTATTTACTAGCCTTTGTTCTGTGTTCCTTCCAGGGGCTCAAGCAGGCAGCGTGGCCTGGGGGTCAGTCGGCTCCAAGCTGGGCTACACCGTCCACCAGAACTTCATCTGCGGCAAGAAGCAGAAATCCAAGAAGCTGTAATCCCCCTCCCCCCGCAGCTCTCCTCTCGCCGGCTGTCGGGAAAGCTACCTCTGGGCTCGCCATACCGAGCCTGGGCATAGGCGTAGTTTGACTTCTGTATTTGGGGGAAGGGGTTTGATGTAATTCTCCAGGGGTTTGCTCTAATCCCTACTGAAATCAATAGGTGTGTTTGGCCAGGTCTACACTACCCATGTACTGCGGTATAACTACGTCACGCGGGTGTGAAAAATCCACACGCCTGAGCAACAAAGCTATACCAACCCCAGCCCCCCGGGCAATCTGGGTGTGGGAGCTCGGTGGGGTGTCTGGATGCAGGAGAGATCTGGATGCAGAGGGGCTTGTTGGGGGATTCCAGGTGCAGGGGGAATGGGACTCTGTGGGGAGGGGGGTCCAGGTGAAGGTGGTTGGGGCACAGCAGGGTGGGTCTGGGTGCGGGGGGGCATCTGAATGCATGGGGGTTGGGTGGACCGGGGGAGGGCAGCTCCCTGCATAGTGACCCCTCCTCCCCTTCCCCCCCCCCGGCTGAGGAGCGATGGGGGGGCAGGTAGTGGGGGGGTCAGGAAGCAGCTTTGGAGGGAGGGGGTTGCCAAAGGTGGTTGATGCAACCATTAAATGGTTCACCGAAGAAAGCGCCTGAACGGACTGTGGCTATGGGGTTTAATCCTTTCTGGGCTGGGGAGTGGGAAACCGGCCAGCAGCCTACAAGAGGCTGCAGAGGAAAAATTAAAAATTAAAAAATAACGGTTTGCAGACAGGAATCTGGATAGTCGTGTTGATTGCACACGGTGTATGTCCATCATTCACCTGGCCGGCAGCAGCATGAATTGCAGCGGAAGTGCCCGGGGCTTCCTGCCTCACACGGTTTCTGTAGTGCTCTAGACAGTGCATGGGGGAGCTGCTGCTGGGCAATCATAAGGTATGTGCCAGGCTTCTTCCCCTGGAGTACAACCTACTTCAGAGCCCCCCACCTCCCAGCACAGCAGCAACCCTCTCTCCCCCACCCCCACTCACCCGATCTGCCTGGCTCTCGTCTCCTCACTGAAGAGGACTGGTCACTGCTCTTCTGTTCTCCCCTTCAACAAGGCCCCGCCCATGTAGGGGAAACTGACCAGCACAGGTAAGCGCCCTATGTCAGCCGCTCATGCCTTCCCCCAAGTTCCTCTGTGCCCACCCAAGAGGGTTGGGGGAGGGGGTAGCAATTCCTTCCCCAGGTGCCTTGTGCCTGCAGGTCAGTACCCAGCCCATGTGATGAAACTGACAAGCACCGCAGGCAGAGAGCTCCTGGCATCACCTCTCCCTATGTTCCTCCATGGGGAGGAAGTAGGAGGCAACTGCCTTGGCCTTGTATAGTTTACCTACCCCCCCCCCCCTTACTCCCTCTCCCCCCCAGCACTCTCTACCTATGAGCCTGGGCCCTTATTGAGGGCACCAATGCAGCACTTAAGGTGATTCCATTTTTGTTTGTAGCTACTCCAGGGCAGGATCTGTTCCCTGCCTGTCTGTTGCTAGCACTGGACTGGCCAATAGTCCTTCCCTCCGGTGCCTACAGCCCCTGGCCATGCACAGGGTCTTACATGAGTTTCAGTGCAAGACCGTGTGGACCCACTCCACATAACAGGAGTGGTGGCCCTTACGTCCTGCATGAGTGCCTGTTCTCTGGCCTGGCCACTGACCTGCTCATGTCCTGACCCTTCAGCAGCCAAAGGGCGCCGGCGATCAGGAGCCCAATCCTGCAGACCTCATGTGGGCCACCCTCCTTCAGCCGAGGCGCCTCACTGCAGCCAATGAATGCAACAGCAGCCCCCCCCGCCTTTCGCTCTGATGGGGGGACGGGGGAAGGGAGCACCCACCAGATAAACCCTGCTGATGACTCGCCTTTAGACACCAGAGTGCAATTTAGACAGAGAAATGAATCATTCACCTGGCAAGCTCCAGCAACCCCAGCATCTTAGGAGTTCTCCGGGGTCTTCTGCCTGTGATGAGACCGTTTCGCCTTTGTTCTGCAGTGCCCCACCGGCTGTTGCGCACAATCTGAGCACTGCAGGAGCTCTGCCAGCTGGGGAAGGCTGGAGTTTACGGTCCGACTCCCTGCAAGGTACTCAGTTCTAGTGATTGCCAAAGGCCCTGTGCGAGGCGGGGCAGAACTGCTACAGAGGTGAATGCTCCAAAGGTCCTTAATACTCCTTCGGTTTCCATAGAAAATGGATAGTGATTCCCATGAGGAGTACGAAGCTCAATCTCCCCCCCGCCCCCCCCAGAGGATTGTGACCAATGTAGCGTAGCTTGTTTAATTAGATGAGCTACTAAGAGACGCTAAACATCCCTGCTCCATCAGCTGCCTTTTTTTGTTGCACCTCCCCCATCCTCTAGCCCTCTCCTTTCAAATGATAAACTTCCACGCGTAGGGATTGTGGGCAAGACTGCTGTCATTTGCGCCGCTGTAACTCTGGTGTTACACCATTCTAGCAGAGGAGAATCTGGCCCCCTGTTTGTACCTGTTGTCAGAAAAGCAGCTAGCCTACAGTATGTGAATGCTGCCCAACAGACCCTCCCAAGTCTCCGCAATCTTAATGATCGATAGTGCCTCGTTGTTTACTTATACCTACTCTCCCATCTGTTGTCTCTTGTCTTAAACTTAGATTGTAAACCCCTGAGGACAGGCACTGTCTTTTTGTTGTTTGTACAGCGCCTGGCACAACAGGGTCACAGCACATGGCTAGGGCTTGCAGACGCTACAACGAATGGTGTGACGCCTGCGGGTTGCAGTCAAACATTTTCTCCCGTAAAATGATCTGAGATGTGGTTGGGGTTTAAGACAGAGCCAGTTCGATAGACTTCATCCTTTCGTTCTTATTCTGCGTGTGCATTGAGGGTGCTTATAGCAAGAGCTTCTCTAGGGAGATTCCTCGCTTGTTCTGCGTTCGGGACCCTAGAAACCAGCGAGGCTGGAAAAAGACTTTTCTGGCTCTCCTTTTTTCTCCTGGCCTGAGCAGTGTCGCTAGAGACATGCCGGCTTACGTCATGTAAACCAGGCTGAGTCTCAATCCCCAAATCTTGTGCAGAGGGACTGAATCTAAACATCATAGGTGCTTTATTTCCCCCAAAGAAAAAGAGAAGAGAAATACCAAACCTATCTGCAAACTGCCATCGGATGCAGACTGCTTGGGCTAGATTTTCAAGCGCTCACCACCCTCCACGAAGGCCAGACCCTTGAGATCTCAGCCGCTCCCTTTACGATCCTTATGGCCTGACTTTGCACGGAGGCCTCTTGAAAATCTGACCCCAAGGGTGGAGGCTGAGCCCTGCTGAAAACTGGCTAACGGAGATGGTAAAATACCAGCCTTGGGTCATCAAAAGGGCCTTCGCTGTGGTAGCTTGGCATTCAGACAGTACAGCTCGATTCAGAGGGAATTACTTTGCCGCATGGGCGGTGTTTAATAAAGTAACACATTGCATTTCTGTAGCAACCCCCACCCTAGGATCTCAGAGCCCTTTGCAAAGGATATTGAGCTGTGAGATGGGCCAATATTCTCATCTGCATTTTACAGCAGGGGGAAACTGAGGCAGAGAGAGGGGCAGAAGGTCAGTGGGAAAAGAGTCCAGAAGTCCTGACTCCCACCTCATCTTTCCTATAGCAGGACAAGCAGGGGTTTAAGTAGGTAGAGCTCTCATTGGTCCATCCAAGGAAAAGAAGGAGCTGTGTGTGTGGGGGGGGGTGCTCTCCTGCTTTAACCCCTGGGGGGACACTGCCTGCAGGGCTAGCGCCTGGAAATGAGACTGAATTGCAGGCTGCAGTACCCCAGTAGCACGCGAGATCCCAGCTAATGGCCAGTTCCCGGTTTACTAGCCCCGCAGAAGGGCTATTTGCAGTCAGTAGGTCCCCACAGCATCAGTAGAGTCCCCAGAGAGAGAGGTTGGCTACTGCGGCCTTATTTTCATGTCCACGTATTTGTAAGAGTAGTGGTACCCCTTCCCGGTGGACCAGTTGATCCCGTTGGCATAGGAGGTGTGTTCACCTTTGAGGTACAGCCCGTTGAGGTTGGAGGAGTGGCACTCCCCATACCACCAGCTGCCTTTGTAGCGGATGGCACAGCTGCCCCCAAAGGTGTCGTGGTCTTTGTCCCGCGTGGAGAACCCCAGATTGTTGTGTCCCGAGAGAGAATCTCCTGCAAGGGGAAGAAGGCAAATACACACAGGGCTTGGCCTGCGGCATCTTCATTCCATGCCAAACTCACGGCCTTCGCATGAGGGCAAAGGCTTTCCCCAGCTGGAGTCATAACAAAGAGCCTTGCCTCTAGGTCACCGGTTCAAATCCAGCCCCTGTCTCTTTCCATATTATTATTCATTAGTAGGAAGCATCCTGTATGGGGCCCGGATTCCCACCTTGCACAGTCATTTACACTTGTGCAAAGACTCACACCGGTCTGATCTGGCAGCGTTTGGGTGTAAATGCTGACCCAAGGTGCAGGGACCATGGAGAATAAGGCCCTAGTCCTGTAGTCCTTCCCCTGGCTGTCTGCTGGCTGGTGTGAAATGAGTTTGGTGGGTCACAGGAGACAGGCGGTGTCCATACACCACTGGAGACCCCAGCCCCACTCACACCCTGGCTGGAGCTAGCACTGGCCCAATAACATTTACTAGATGAATTTTGCTACGTTATCCAGATAAAGTCGCCTAGAAATTCCCCTTCCTCCACCAGTTCTAGCTGGAAACTCTCGGCAGAGAAGCCAAGGCCTGAGCGGCCTGCGGACACCGGGCTGCCTTCCCACTCCTAGAGCTGGTCCCTCCAGGTCTGGGCTGAGGCACTGTGGACATGCAGGGGGGATGCTCCTGCAGACACCGCCCCGGCTGGACCTGGTGCGTGGACACGCAGGGGCTCTGGTGGGGGCAGGCTGGGGCTCTTCACCAGTGCTAAGACAGTCACAATGGGGGGCTGAGGAATCCTAGCCCTGCCTCCCCGCCTCGCACAGCTGGTATTTCATCCTTGGGAACCACCAGTGGTGGCTTTCCTATGTGACAACCCCAGCAGCCTATCCCCACTCGAGGCGTCTCCCCCAGCCAGGTGGGGAAGGTGCTGGGCCCCGCCCATTGTCCTTGTGATCGAGAAATCCAGTCGGTAGCTTGCAAACTCTTAGGGGACGTCTGCACGGCAGCTGGGCACCGGGATTCCCGGCGCAGGTAGGTGCACGCTAGCTTTGCTCGAGGTCGCACGCTAGAAGTAGCCGGGTGGCTACGGCAGCCCAGCCAGTCGCTCAGGGCACACACCGAGTACGTCCCCAGGACCCCCGGCGGGGTCGTAGCGGGAGGCCAGCCCCAGCAGCTGCGGCCACACGGCAGCTTTCAGTGCGCTAACCTGAGCGGAGCTAGCGCCCGTACGTCCTCCCGAGCGGGGATTCGCACCCGCAGCGTAGGCGTAACCGTGAGACACCAACGCTGCTTCCTCCACTTCGTCAAGTTTCGCTAACGGTCATGGAGGCGAGGGGCAGGGAGGGCACTGACAGCATCCAGAGACAGTGGTTCCCCCACCCAGCTTTGCTAATGGGATCCTGACCTGCACATACCCTCCCCCTCTTCCTCCAGGGCTGGGCTCCCCCTCCAGCCCCGCAAATGCACCTCAGTCCTGTAGCAGCCCCTTCTGCCTGACAGCTGTTACTGCTCCTCTCCCACGGTCTGGTGGGGTGGCTACTATTGATTTGTCTGTGACATGCTCGGTTACCCTTGTCCTTAATGCTCTGACAGAGTGTCCTGGGGAGACTGCAGGCTCGGGGACAGACCCTCAGCAGCCCTCACTCCAGTCTTTTACGCCAGGGAAAGGCTGCCCCCTGGTGACGAGCTAGCCTCATGCAACTAAGCCTTCCCCGTCTGAAGATCTGGGCTCCGCCACCAGAGAGGCCACTGGCCTGAGGGCCTCAACCCTGCATTAGAGGGCAAAGCCGCCAGAGCGAGCTGAACCACTGCGGCACAGATGCCAGGCTCTGCTCAGGAGGGGCCGAGGCGTGTAATAGCAAGGCGGGGGTGCCGCTAGCTGGCCCCCGCTCACCCTGCAGCAGCAGGCCTGAGTGGAAGTCGCTCGGTAACTCACCCATGCTGCCATCCAAGAAGGAGCCCAAGGCGAGCGTGTAGTTTTCCCTTTCGCTCAGCACCTTGAAGCTGGTGTACTTGGCAAACGTGCTGGACTCATTGAAGTCCCTGGCATCAATCCGCAGCTGGTAGGTCCCTGAGGCCGAAAGGACAGCAAGGCATCAAAGTCCCAGCATTGCTGGAGAGAGCGGCCATGGCCCGAGAACAACGCCTTTTCCTCCCACGACGCGGGAGCGGGAGCTACATTCACTGCGGGAAGATGCAGTCCCCCTGTGGGTTGGGGCAGCCTGGGGACACAAGGATGGGAAACCCCGGAGGAAATGGAGGTGGGAGTCTCCCCTGTACAGGAGGGGCTAGGGGCTGTGATGCTATGGTGGGGAACTAAGCCCAGGAAGCACCTGATGTCTGAAAGGGGTCTGGATTTTCCTGATCACACCAGCTCTGAGCCGTCTCCTTTTGGAGCTCACTAGCTACCACCGAGCTCTGTTTGGGGTTAACCCTTTCTAGGAACCCTCCCCAGCATGCTTTGCGGCTAGCTAGCCCTTTAAACTCTGGGGCAGACAAGCTGCTCCAGCCCAGCCTTCTCTTCTTTCCAGAGGGAGATTTGGTAGCCGTCTGTCCCAGGAGGAGGGGCACGCCCAGATCCTGATCCCTGCGATGCTTGTGTAGATCTGGGGTAGCTCTGTTAACGTCAGTGATTTTACGCCTCAGTCCAGCCTTCCCCTGCTCTCTCCCTGCGACTGCTCCCTTCTCAGCTGGGTGGCGAGAAGTCTCCTTACCGGTGCTGGTGAGAAGGTGGATGTTGTCATTGCCCAGCCAGAACTCCGATGCTTGGTTTCCAAACCCTCTTTTGTAGGCCTCCCAGCCCCGATAGAAATCCACCGACCCATCCTGGCGCCGCTGGAACGCCTGGAAAGTAAGGGGCAGGTCACGCCCAAACTCAGCGAGCCCCGGGGAGCTGGGCAGGACCCAATCCTGCCGCTGAAGCTGCGGGGGGGAATCTCCCAGTGAGCCCAATGTCCATCCTTCAGATCTCAGTGAACAGCAAACAGCTGTCTCCACTCTGCAGGATCTTATGTGGTGCCTACTGCCAAGGGGCACCAGCAGGGTTTGGCCCCTAGACCTCCCTCACTACAGGCACAGGGCTCCATGGCTGGAGCACCCAGCAGCTCCTATAGCATCGCTGGCAGCCAGAGTTTCAAAGCACTGAGTAACTGGGATGGGGGCCAGGGAGCACACCCTTGCTCTGGGGGAGAGGAGACTAATGAGCTCTCCTGGGCTGGTTCAGCTCTTAACGAGGCACATCTGTAAGGTTTGCTCTGCCTGGAGGGGGCGGGTGGGAGCTTAGACAGGGAAAACAGGCCCTGGAAGGGGCGGTGAACAGGGCGAGGACTGCCATGCCCCCGAGAGCGCTGACCACGCAGACAGATCAGCCAAGCGGGAGACAGCCTCTGGCCTCACTGCCCCTGCAGTTGCATGGACCAGTGCCCCAAGCTGGAATGAGACCCTCACTAAAGACAGCTGATAAGCCAAGCCCCAAAGGGCTGGCTGCAGAAAGACTGCTGAAGAGACAGGCTCTCTGATTCCCCTCCCTGGCAAGGGAAAGAGAGAGAAAAGGCCCTTCCTTGTTTGTTCTGTCTGGAGAGCCCCTCGTGTGCTACGAACAGCGGGAGGATGTTATAAAGAACGTGGCCTGGGCTCTGGTGGGGACTCCGGGGAGTCTCAGCCCCCCCACCACAGCCAAGGTGCTGAGCTCTTTGGCAAGACCGGCTACCTGGTGCCTACGTGAGAGACCAGCTCTTCTGAACATCTCCCCTAACCGGGACCTGCAGCAGAATCTTCAACCTGGTATGTGGGGGCCACAGACCCACTCTGTGCAATGGGGGGGTAACACCAAGTAGGTGGAGGCGTGTGTGGGGAGGTGTATTTCCTCCTGCATCCCCTGCTCCCGGGCCTGCTTGAGGGCTAGAAGGACTCACCAGCCAGCCCCCGCCATCCGTTTCCATGTCACAGAAGACGGTCAGCGTTCTCCCTGGTTCGGGGTGGATGGTGTACCAGCCGCTCAGCCCCTCTCCCTGCTCCAGTAGCTCCTTGCAGTTCCTGGCACCTGCCCCTCAGGGGAAACACCAGCTGGGTGAGTTCATTATGGCCAAGGCAGTTAGCAATGTTCAATCCAACACAGGGGTTGGGATGGGGATGGGGGTCCCAGAGCACCAGCCACCCTGTCTTGGATAACCCGGGGAGCTGGACAGGACCCAATCCTGCCGCTGGAGCTGTGGGGGGATCTCCTAGTGAGTCCAATGTCCCTCCTTCAGATCTCAGTGAACAGCAAACAGCTGTCTCTCTCCACTGAAGGATCTTATGTAGTGCTTCTGCCTACCCCTGAGCAGCGGGAAGAATGAATGACATTGGCTTTCACAGCCATCTGCTGGCTGACTGATAAACACACCCCGGTCAGGGACTCTCAGTACGGGGCACCTAATTTTTCTGTACACTGGCTGAAAATGAAAAATGTCAGAAACTTTTTGGCAAATCGAAAAGGCAAAGAAATGTTCGGTTTGGGTCGAACAGGTGGTTTGTTTGGATTTGCTGCCGCGTTGTTGAGGCCGTGTTGGTCCCGTGTTTAGAGTTTGACCATTTGGAAACGTTTGGCTGTTCTGAATAAAATGAAAGGAAATCTGGAAACAAAAACGGCGGCGTGAACTGAAAAATCCAAGCGTTCATTTAGAAAGGGTCAAGATGACATGTGGGGTGTGTGTGTGTGGGGGGGTTGTTTTTGACTGAAACAATTTGGCAAAAGCAACAATTCTGGAAACATTGGTGTCCCGGAAGCTGCATTTTTCACAGAAAAGGCAATCGTCCAGCTGTAACTCGGAGCTGGTCCCTGGCTGTGCGGGGCTGGGATATACAGTAGCTGGGAGGGGTCTCTCCAGCTGGACTGAATAAACACCTGAGGGTGAAATCAGAACTGCAGGTGGTGAGGAATGAACTCGCTGCTGCCCGGCTGTTTCATGCTGGAGCTGATGGTAGATGCATTTGAGGGGCCTTAACTGGGGTTTGATGGGGCTCTGGGTCTCTGGGGGAGTAAACTGATGCTAGAGAAAAGGAAGGAAAATGGGCGTAGCCGGGGCAGCTGTGTTTGGTGGGGCCTCGGGACATTGTTTGGGGGAGGCCGGACTCTCACTTGGTGGCTTTACTTCGTGCTATTAAATTACAGCTAATGGAGTTACTCCCTTAGCTGGGGTGGTAGCAGCCTGTGCTTTTGGTGTGGGAGGTCCCGGGTTCGATCCCCGTGGACGGCCTGTGGCATCTGTGTGTTCGCAGCTGTGTTGGTGCGCGAGGGGAGGGTTTGAGGCTGAGGAAGGCGTGTACCTTGCTGCTGAGAGCTGGCAGAAGTGCTGGCTTCTCCTGAGGGAAGAGAGAGACAGCCATTGGTAAGACGGGGCATGCGACAGCTGGGCAGTGAGGGGAGGGCAAGGTTGCCGCATGCTCTGGAGAAGGGTGGCTCTCAAATGTCACCTCAGGGTGGTGAAAGGGCCTTGCAGGGGGTGCTGGCAGCAGTGTGGACCTCTGTGAGGCCAGGCTTTCACCCCCAGCCGCTAAGTCCTTCTCCCCGTGCAGGGTAGTGACAATGTCTCTTCTCCAGAGCAGAGGTGGGGAAGGCGATTAGCCCTGGGAATGCAGCACTCAGACCAGTTTGCAGGCAAGAGTCCAGACACGGCAAGAGAGTTCACAGGGTGCAGCCGGGGGATAGAGCGGTGAGGCTTCCCGAGAGGCCCAGTCCTGCATCCCATCCTCCCCCAAAGAGTCCCATCGAAGTTACCTTTGTCTCCTTTGGGTCCAGCCTTCCCCATTGCCCCAGGGGAGCCCTTCTCGCCTGAAGAAAGAGAGCAGAGGCATGGACCTGGTTCCCTTTATTGTGCCTTTAGCGCTACCTGACAACAGCCTATAAGAGCCAGGCGATGCGGCCGGGGAGCTGGGGGTGGGGAGCAGACTGGATGGGGATTTCTAAGGGGACACAGAGCCTTTTGCTTCTAGGTCATTGGTTCAAATCCAGCCCCGGTGGGTACCATTTATTGGCTCGGGTGAAATGAATGAGCGGCTCAGTCCAGTTCCTGGTGGACAGGGGTGTCCGTGCTAGAAAAAATAGCAGAGGTCAAGGATTGGGCAGGCCAAGGTGCCAGCTAGTCTCTGTGTACGTGGTTCACTCGCTCACGGAAGGGATGTTGTCCCAGTGTTTTAGTGGCAGAGACGACTAGCCAAGATCTGCTGGGCACAGGCTCCTCGCCAGCCCTTTGACATTTCTGCTGCGCATTATCCTGTCCCCACTGCCTCTCTGGTCCATTCACAGTGTAAGCCCTTGGGGGCAGGGACTGTCTGGACAGCACCCAGCCCCCTCCCGCTCTGACCTATTGTAATACACATGATCAGTGCAGACGGCCCTGCAGAACTCAAACCTGGATTCTGCCAACCTGTCTGAAACGTTCCCTGCCCACGGCGAACTATAACCCGAATCTAAAAGCTGCTTTCCCTGGCCAGGCCTGATAGGCTCCTCAGTCCAGCCGCTCACACTCACACTCCCCAGTGTGTGTCCCTGAGGAGTTCTGGTGCAGAGTGCTAGGGCTGTGAGCTTCCTCAAAGCAGTGTCCTGCTGACCTCCCATGAGGTGATCTCCTGCTCTCCATGCTCCTCCTTGGCAACCTGCTCCCCAGACTCTCTGAGCCCGTGCCCTGCCTGTCGGGTGCGTTAGTGCCAAGCATTCACATGGAGTCTGCCCGTCCCTTTGTCTTGCCTGGGTACGGATGTCTGTCTGGCCTGCTTTATATCGAGGCTGTGATTGCTGAGTCCTGACAGCATCCTCTCACCTGGGGGCCCTTGAGGGCCTGGATCTCCTTTAGCCCCGGGGAGGCCGTTTGTCCCCGGCATGCCTGGCATTCCTGGGATCCCTGGCTGGCCCTGGAAAAAGCTCTTCTTGTCCGCTCCGCACTGGGATAATTCCTTCAGCTCTGAAAGAGGCGGAGAAGCAGGCTGGAGTGAGGAGAGCAGGCGCGCAGTGTGGTGGTGTCCTGAAGGTAGCGGTAGCAGCACAGCATGGGGCCAGGAAGTGACCAGGGGAAAGGCTCATGCACCTGGGGAGATGCTGAAACTGCAGGGAAATGGAGGGAACCCCAAAGCTGAGGGATAAGTTCCCCACCCCCCTGGGGACTTGATTGAGGGGTCCTGGTTGTACCTACAAGCTCTGTTTGGGACTGTGTTCCTGTCGTCTAATAAACCTTCCGCTTTACTGGCTGGCTGAGAGTCCCGGTGAATCGCAGGAATTGGGGGTGCAAGGCCCTGACTCCCCCACACTCTGTGACAGGGAGCATCCTGCCTGTCCGGCGGGGAGCTCCTCACAGATGCGGCTGCCCCGGCAATGTCCCGCTGCGGCTCCTCTTCAGAGCCTGCTCCCTGCTGGAACCCATGAGCGTCGGACTGAGTTTGGCCCCCAGTTTGTAGAACAAAACGCCACAAAGGGATCCCCAAGGGTGCTGAGTACCCCCAGCCCCCGCTGACTTCAATGGGAGCTCTCAGCTCTGCCCTGGATTCAGCTACTCACGTGCACAGCAGCTGGACTCTGTCTCCTGGGCAAGGCCTGCTCTAGGGCCAGTAGCAGCCATCAGGAATGCCAGGGCGAGGAGAAGGCCCGTGGAAGACTTCATCTTGCCCTGCTGCCCCCACGCCGTTACCCCTCGGGCTGCCTGACTGCTCTGCCTCTTATACCCTGCTGACTTTCCCGGCAGCCAAACACCTGTATTGTGTAATGCCTGTTCTGCCGGGGGGGCCAGCCTTTCTCAATGAGCGTGTGGCGCAAGAGTTGGGCTCAGAGGTTCCCGCGAGCTACGGATAAGGCGGAATGCGATATCTCGCTCTCAGTGAGCCTCTGTTTGCGCTTTCGGCCCAACTAAATCCCCTCTGCTGTTTCAGGCAGCTGGAGGGTTCTTCTGAACTTCCTGTCCTGAGCTATGATGTGGCATTGATCATGCTGTTGAACAGCTGCTGCGCTCCACCCCAGAGTTGGCTGCATTCTGGTGGCGGGTAAGTTCATTCCTGTTTGAAAGGCAGCCTGGCTCGCGGGAATGAGGTCAGGACTGAGTGCCCCAGAACACCTGAATGCTAATCTTGGCTCTGCCATTGACCCACTCAGAGGCCTTGGGCGTGTCTCTTTCCCCATTTGTGAAATGGGTAACACATGCTTTCCTGCCTCCCTCCCAAAGCTGCTGTGAAAAGGACGGTTCGCCGGGGGGTGTTAGTATTACATTTCTATGGTGCCTTTCATTCCCAAGGACAGCATCTGTCTATCTAACATCTGGAACTTGTAAAGAACCTTCACTACAGCCTTGGCCTTGGCAAACCACATAGACAGGCGTCCCTTCATGCAGCCCATGCAGCCACCTCTGGGGTGGAACGTGGTGGCTGTTTAACAGCGCAGAACAATCAACAGCGCAGTTTAGGACAGGAAGTGAAGGAAATCTCATGTCCAAGGAATATTTTAGGGGAGCAGACTGGAAATGGGTCAGAACACCAGGGTTAACACCCCTACCCCTGCAGAAAGTGCCATGGGACCTGGAATGACCACGCAGATCCAGGACCCCAGGGGACTGGCTCAGCACCGAGGCAAAGGGAAGAGCAGCAGCCACAACACCACTAACCCCACCCTGCTTGCAGCGCCTGGGTTTCCTCGAAGTCTGGTCAAGCACTGACACAGCCTGCCCCTGCTTGGCTTTGGCGAGGTTATGTGTATATTGAGGCGGCGCCTACGGACCCACCAGGAATGCGCTAGGAGCTGTACAAACACTCAGCCGAGCTCCCAGCCTGAAGGGACGTGGCTTCGGGTTCACACCTCTCCAGTGATGGCGGCGGGAGGGTAAGGAGCCCTTCAGCTTCGGGGATAATTCCCCTCCCTGCGGAGTTCTGCTGCGCTGGGGGGGTCGGGGTGTTATTGATGCTGGACCAGGACTGAGCTTCCGGAACAGAGGGAGGGGAGAGGAGGAGCCGCCGGGGAGGAACTGGTACCAGCCAGTTGGTGGGGAATCGGGTGTGGAGGTGCCTTAGCTCACAGTGCGGAGGGGTCTTTAGCTGCCCTCTGGCACAACCGAGGCAGCAGCCCCTTCTGGGGCCGGAGGGGAGCAGGCTTTGATCTTGCTCTTGGTCCCAGCAGCGTAAATCATGAGCCGCTCCATTAAAGTCCCTGGAATGACCCCGGTGCAAAGCCCATGCAAGGGGGATCAGAATCAGGCCCACGTGGGCAGCCTCCTTCCAAGGTTACGGTGCAGTCCCCTGCCTCGAGGTGTCAGAGAAGGTAGGAGAAGCTTGTCTAGTAGCCATGGGTAGAACTGCCCTTCTCCCCAGGGCTCACCTGTGGCAGAGGCGAACGGTCAGCTGGGCCTGTTCGCTTTCGTTCCAGGGAAAGCGACAGTGACTCGAGGACACCTGCTCACAAGCAGCCTCTCCGAAGAAAATGAATGTGCGTCTCATTTTCTGGCCTGGGAAAAGCATCACCGCCCCCCACGTGGATCAAAATCCCCCTGCTGCCCCTTCACGCCCTGCTGGACAGGGCAGCTGGCTCCCACTGCAGCTACTTCTCCTCCAAGCCAGCACAATATCTACTGCTCCAGCCAGAGAGCCCCACTGGGAACATTAACCAAGCCTGAGAAATCTCATCAGCTGTAAGCTCCAATTTACAGATGGGTAAACTGAGGCCTGGGGTGCTGATGTGGTTTACGCAGAGTCCTGGCATGAGTCAGTGGCAGAGGCGGGAGTAGAACCCAGGAGTCCTGAGGCACAAGCGTCTGCTTGAGCCTGTCCCGTTACCAATGTACAACAGCCTTCACTGGTGCTTAGCTGTGAACTGCCCGCTGATGCACTGGGAAAACCCCGTGCACGCCCCACTTCCTCCTTCTAGGTGCCTCTTGCTGTTTTGTTCTCATTTTACTCCACTGATTGCAACACCCCTGTACCGCTGGGCTGGGGGAGGATTCCTGACGGTCAGTTCCCACTGAACAAACATTGAATTTCTCTGTTTTTCCAAGAGCAGCAGCAATTGGCCCACAGCCTGGCTGCCTTTTGTTTTGCTCACCTGTGCATGCACCAGCCTTAACATCAGTCAGGGCATTTTGGGGCCGGGGGGGGGGGGGGGGGACTCTGGGGGGGGACTCCTCGCTGCAGCTCCCTGGTTTTCTAGCTCCCGTCACAGACCGCTACAGCCTGTGCTCACACTGTCCCTTTGTTACTGGAAATATGTCAGCAATGCTGCCAGGCAAAGTAGGGCTGGGGCAAAGTTCAGCTGCTGGGAGCAAACAGAAATCTACGTGTCCTGAGCCAGGGCAGGCCCGGGGAGACTGGAAGGGGAATTGTTTTTCTTCCCTTTTGGGGGAGGTTGGCCGCAGTGCTTGTTATGGGAGCTGGATGCAAAGTTCTGGTCAGTCCCAGATCAGGTATAAGCCAGCCACTGGTGGGCTGAGGTTTGGGCGATGTTCATCACACCAGTGGCGCCACACACCAGACCCCGGGGCAGGTAGAGCCGGGGCGGGAGTAGTTTTGGTAGAACCGGAAGGTTCTTGGGACGTTTATTCTGTCGCGCCTTGGATTGATGACTGGTGGGCTTTCCTTAAGGTGAACCCAGGCTGTACCTGCTCTGCCGGTGCGTTCCCGGGAGCGTTGCTCTTTGCTTGCACTATGGTTGAGGACACCTGATCCACCCAGCCCTCTCCTTCAGCCCCAGCCCAGGAAGTCCTCTTAACTCTGAACCCAAAATCACAGACCGTGTCTGTTCAGGCCCCCACTGGCCATTTCACCCCGGATGCAGGTGTCCCTCCAGACTGTGTCCAAGGGGTTCCCTGGAGGGAAGGAGAACCCCGAGTGAGGCAGTGCCTATACCCAGGGGGTGATGGCAGGCCCACCCCACCCAAGATAGAACAGTTTGTTAGCACAATTAACCTGATAGGCGGCAACAGGGTCTGGGAGCAAGCAGACATAGGGTCTGGACCCGGAGCAATGGGCTGGCCCAGGTTCCCCCACCAGACTATCTGGAGTGGCGTGAGAACAGCTGATCAGGGGGACTTTGGTATCATGGAAGGGGAGGACGATAGTGACCCGGCCAGAGGCTGAACCACGAAGAGGGAGCACCCTGGCTTCTGGGGGTGGGGGGCACAGTGCGAAGAAGGGGGCGTCAGACTGGAGTGGAGCTAATCTCCAGATGCAGCCACAAGGAGGCGCCCCACGGGTGAGTGAACCCTGTGGCACAGGGACCGAACCTCAGTGGGTATAAACTGGCATAGCTCCTGTCATGAACCTACAGCTAAGGGTAGCCTAAAATCCCTCTTTACCCTGTAAAGGGTTAAGAAGCTCAAATAACCTGGTTGGCACCTGACCAAAAGGACCAATAAGGGAAGAAGATACTTTCAAATCTGTGGGGGAAGGTTTTTGCTTTGTGCTCTGTGTTGTTGTTCTCTCTGAGACAGAGAGAGAGACCAAGCAAATAATCCGGCTCCCACGGAAATGATACATCTAACATTACAGAAATAGCAAGGAAATGCGTTAGATTATCTTTTGTTTTAGCTTGTGAATTTTCCCTGTGCTAAGAGGGAGGTTTATTCCTATTTTTTTGTAACTTTAAAGTTTTGCCTAGAGGGGAATCCTGTGTTTTAAATCTTATTACCCTGTAAAGTTACCTTCCATCCTGATTTTACTTTTACTTTTTTCTTTATTATAAAGTTCTGTTTTCAAGAATCAGATTGGGTTTTTAGTGTCCTAAAAACCCAAGGGTCTGGTCTGTGCTCACCTTGGTTACCTATTTGGTTGGTTTATTATTCTCCAGCCTCCCCAGGAAAGGGGGTGAAGGGGCTTAGGGGGATATTTTGGGGAAACAGGAACTCCAAGTGGTCCTTTTCCTGAATCTTTGTCTAACTCACTTGGTGGTGGCAGCGATTCCATTCCAGGGCAAGGAATTTGTGCCTTGGGGAAGTTTTTAACCTAAGCTGGTGAACTATAAGCTTAGGGGGTCTTTCATGCGGGTCCCCACATCTGTACCCCAGAGTTCAGAGTGGGGAGGGAACCCTGACCGCTCCGCTGCTGGCACTGGAGCTCTCCTGACTCATACCAGCCTGGAGCATGCAGCTGTTTGGACTCTCCACTGAACTAGAGCGACCCCTCCCCGCGGAGTGAGTCTGGCTGGTAGCAGGAGCCGGGCTGGATGAGCCTGGGGCAAGGGTAGCATTGGTTCAAGGAGCCCAGCGCTGCCAGGCCTTTCCCCTCGCCCCTCCCATGGCCAGGCTCCCGCAGGGTTGTAGGAATGCCGAGTTTGAGAGGCGCTACGTGCCCTGCCTTGCGACTGCCCCCCGCAGGAGGGGTGCCCTGCTCCGCTCCCTGGGGCAGTGTCGGGCAGCAGCGAGGGCAAGGCCCGGCCAAACCCTGCTCCCCCCAGCTCCCCCAAACACACAGACACGGCAAACTTCTCCCCTAGAGTTTATTGTCCTGGCGCTCTCCATACAATCAGCAGCCTTCTGCCGTGCAGTGTAGCAGAGACCCTCGCTGTGCTGGCTTCTATACCCATCACTCAGCAGCGGCCATGCCTAGCTCTCCCTCTGCCCCCCCCCCCCCCCCCCCGCCCCGCCCCCCCCCCCCCCCCCCCTCCTTGACACGCTATAAGCACGGTGACAGTGGCAGGTGTGCGTGATGCGTAGAGACACATCAGCATGGCCCCCGCCTTGCGGGGCTTCTGTTCCGAGGTGGTGCGAGGTGCAGGGGGCCCCTCAGCTTGGAGACCACCCAGCATCTCACAGGGCCTTGAAGGAACCAGCCCCGTTGTGGTGGGTATTAAAGCAACACTCCGGGAATGACCTGCCCCAGCCAGAGAGTTGCTGTCAGGCTTCCAACCGGTTCACGTAACTGGAGCCTACTGGGAGTTCAGCCAGAGGCAGGTGAGTGGGTCTCTCTTCCCCAGGGCTAGCTGGTCTCTCGGGCAAGGCTGGGGGAACAGGCCCTGCACGCAGCGTCCGCGCTCAGGCCAGGACGGGGTACGTTGCCGCCGTCGTCACCCCGCAGTTGTTGTCCCGCATGGACATGAGGATGTAGCCGTCGTTACCCCAGTAGGTGGACCAGGAGTTTTTGATGAGCCAATAGCTCTCCCCTTGCAGGACCCCGTAGCCCACGGCCAGCACCGCGTGGTCCAGCTCTGTGGTTTTGTTTCCTAGGAGAAAGGAGAGGAGATTTAGTCTCCCTCTGCTGGGAGGTGAGAGACTGGGCTGTGGGTTCCCCACGCAGGAGGCCAGCAGGCCAGGCCCTGCGCAGAGGAACCACCCTAGATGTTAGGGTGACCAGACAGCAAATGTGAAAAATCAGGACAGGGGTGGGGGGTAATAGGAACCTATATAAGAAAAAGACCCAAAAATCTGGACTGTCCCTATAAAATCGGGACATCTGGTCACCCTACTAGATGTCTTCCTATATTCATCATGTCACTGCCTTATAGGAGTTAGTGTAGAGGGGAATGAATAAGAGGGGGCTATAAAAAGGGGTGCAAGATAATGAGTGGCAGGGAAGGTCAATGCCACCCAGGAACAAGAGGATGCCCAATGAATTAAAAAAGCAACATTTTAAAACCTACTTTTTAATGCAAAGCCTAATTAGCCTGTGGAACTCATTGCCACAGGATATCACGGAGGCCTCGAGTTTAGCAAGAGTTAGCGGACTGGACACGGAGAAGGAACATCCACAGTTAGGTTAGGTAGGATAAAAGATAAGAGTTATGAATCCTCCTGCTTTAGGGCATTAGGCAGTCACGCTCTGTATGGGGCTAGGGTAAAATCTCCCCCCATGGGTAGGTTGTTCTATTAGGAGTTTCTTGCACCTTCCTCTGAAGCAGCTGGGGGGATGGGACTGTAGCCTTTATTTTTATTTAAAGTTAGTTTTAGTGATGTTCTATTGCACCCTCGAGGCTCTGGCGGCTCCAGTCTCAAGTTCAGCAGAGTAACGTCTGTTAGATCTGGAGCTCATAGGAACACCCGGAGGCCAAGGGAAATAACACAATCACGAGAACAAGGCTGTGTGATGTTATGATTAATTAACACGATCCTAGACGAGATGTACCCTGGGTCTGATCGAGCTGTGGCAGGAGTCAATGCAGCTGCTTCTGCCCGCAGGGAACCTGGCTTTGTCCAATTCGAGACAAGCAAAGTCCTCCCCCAGCAGAGCCCCAGACTCACCACAGGCAGGTTCGTAGTAGACGCCGTTGGCATAGAAGGCAAAGGTCTTGGGGGAGGCGTCAATGTTCACAGCCACCGGGCCGTGCTTGTAGAGCGCCGCTTTCAGGGCGGTGACGTTCCCAGGGTCTACGTTGATGTAGCCAGCGACCTTGGCTATGAGCTCAGACTGGTTGTAGTGGCAGTACCCGTTCTGGAGGGGAGAGACCGGTGCAAGAACTGGGTGACAAATCCAGAGCCCTGCCCCTCAGCCAGACTCTTGCATGGCACCATCTGGATACCACGGCAGAGCAGACAAGGCAGGCGCTGGCCCAGTGCAGCCAGTCAACAATGGGCTGTCCAGTCTGTTAACGCTCCCCCGGGCTAAGGAGGAAGTTTCACTGGTCCTGCTGAAGAAACACTCAACCCAAATCTCCCCCATCCTGCGTCCGGGTTTGGATCTAAGCAGGCCCCCTCCAGCCACTGCCAGGGTTAGGATGAGTTAGTGACAGCAGTCGTGCAGGCCCTCGTGCACTGCCATCATCTCCTTGAGTTCAATGGAGCGGCTCACGTGTGAGAAGTCCCGCTCCCGCAAGAGGGGCTGCGGGGTGGGAGCGCCAGCCTCGCCGCTCTCCTGTCTGGGCACCGACGCAGCCCCTGGCGCTGTCACATCTCAGCCAGCCCGGGGGGAAGGGCAGGGCTGAGTCCGTTTTATGGCCGCAGAGCTGAGGCAGGGAAGGAGGGCGGCGGTTCTGCTTTCCGGGGGTGCTCAGCACCCCCATCTGCACTGGATGGCAGTGGGCGCTGCAGCTGCTCAGCACCAGGGCTGGATTTACACCTTACGCACCCCTAGGCACAGCATCTTCAGCCCCCCACCCTCTGCCTACAGCGGCCCTTTGTGTTGCTCACGGTTTTAGAGCGGCAGGGCGCCCCTAGGCATGGGCCTACTGTGCCTAATTGGAATCCGGCCCTGCTCAGTCCGCCCGGGGGCGATCTGCCTGTGCTCACAGAGGGAACCTGATTGAACCCAGGTCGCCATCCACTGCTGTAACCACAAGGCCGTCTTGCCTCTGACAGGCCTGGCAGTGTCTGAAGTGGCCTGTGCATGCCCCAGATAGGGTACGAAGCACCCTCAACCCTCATGGGGACAGCAGGCACGAGGGTGCCCAGCGCCCCGAAGGCCCTCCTAGAATCTCCCGCCGGCGTGGAGAAATTCATCAGGCCCCCCAAGCCGAACGGCTCCGTGCTCTCCTCGGCCGCCGGCCCAGCGCTCACCTGGCCCATGTACGGCCCGTAGGACTCGGTGCTGGCGATGCCGCCGTGCTTCTTGATCCACTCGTACGCCTGCCACTCCTCGCCGCCGTCGCAGGCGTGGTTCCCGAAGCCCCAGGAGCAGTCGATCAGGACTTGCTGGGACAGCGGGGTCAGCACTCCGGTCTGGGGGGCAGCCGGGAGAAAGTCAGGGTCCCAGCCGAGAGCTCCAGAGTCCCGGGTAATGCACAAAGCCCAGAGGAGAGGGGGGTTGGGGCTTCCCCCCGGCTCACGGGGGGTCAGGTGTCTCCCTCCTCCAGCCGAAAGCACCAAAGGTTCCCTCTGGGCGCTGCCTCCACCCTGGGCCTGTGCACAGGGGGGTCACTGGAGTGTGCCCGGCTGCCCGCTGTCCCATTCAAGGACCCCCCAATTGCTTCCTCTCCCCAGTAAGGGGTGGCCTCCGCCTCCCAGGCATGTTGTGTCTAGCAGGACCAGACACACCATGCTCCACATTTCATAGCTACTCTTGATCAGCAGCCAGAGGTCCCCCGTGACGTGGAGCAAGGCCATGTTCCCCTTCAGGGCTCCAACCTTAACTCCCAGTCCCGGGCAGCTCGGCCGGGCAGCTAGTGGCAGGAGCCTGACAAGTGGGTGTGGGCTCAGATGCCCCAGCCTGCCTCGGAGACTCTGCACTGCTCCCTCCCGAGACACGCAAGGCAGCAGGGCTCTCACCTTGAGGAACAGGGCGCCCTCCATCGCCCCGGTGGTAGCAAAGCTCCAGCAGGAGCCACACACGGCCTGGTCCTTCACTGGGGTCACGGCGCCTGGGGAGGGAGGAGTTACAGGGCAGGAGGGTTTGCAGTGAGATAATTTGAGGGTTTTAACATCTCCCACATTCTTCCATGGGAAAGTGGCCGCTTTGCAGAAAAGTTCCTTTTCGCAGAGAGTAATGGACCCCACTTCGGCCCTTTGTGGGGCTTGAACCTGGGACCCTCAGAGCTAAAAACAGCCACCGCTGCTGCCTGAGCTAAAAGACATGCTCCATTAGGTGGAGGCCGTGTGAGACTCAAACCCCTTCTATGGCCCGGTCGCTAGAGAGGGACATAGGCCC